AAGAATATGTACCTGCTCGTGTTAGGACGGACGAGCGGACGAATTGGTGGACTAATAGTGTTTGTTACAGGAATGCATGAAAATACACGCCCGAGGACGGTCGTATGTCAGGACGGCCGTGTCGGAGCGTCTATAAAATACCCGGTTGGATCGCGGTAGAATGGAGGGTATATCGAGAAACCCCCTCTTGTGTCTGTAGTATAAAGTTCACTGTAGGTGCCGTGCGCGGGAGATTCCGCTTAAGTCATTCAACGAGTGTGGTCGTTCTACTAGTGCTAATATAGTGTCGTGGTTCCGTTTGTTGTGGTAATTCTTTAGTGCAGGCAAGGAGAATTGGTGTTGCTGAGAGGCTGCCCTGTGTTACATTGAGATAAGTAGTGTTGCTGTTGGTTTGCATATTTTGGTGTTATCATGTAATTACGTACCTCACGTTACACTGGTGTGTGTGATTGTGGCAGAGACGTATTACGGTGTGGTCGAACTGTAATTTCACTATACTGAATGTATAGTGCGTTACGTTGTCTTATTACTGATAATGATTAAACTGCGTAAGCAAGAGAGCAAGTTGAACATCCGCTCTCACACTTTTATTATTTTTAACAATTAACGCTATCCTGATGTATTTCAGAGATCAAAATTGTGATCCTCTGTTGTAATTCTCCGACATCAGAAGTGGGATCTCCTGTTGCCATTTCCGATATATATTTATTTTTGAACGGAGAAGGTTTATATTTATAAACTAAAAAAAATTACATCTGCAGGGCTAGCATGGCCTGGGGACAAAAACTTTATCCCCAAGACAAGAGATAAAATTATCTTGTCCCTATGCCAAAGCACGGCAACGGGGAGAAGTACATCCCCATTTGACATAACGAGTAGACATATATCCCCGGTCCGTAGCATGGAGCCAAATGAAAGATAAAACATTGTGCTTTTTTGATATTTGAAAGGGACAATTTTATACTAGTTCATTGGCCGTGGATTTATGTTTATATTCATACAAAAACATCTATCTAAGTCTAAGTCTATCTCCCATTTTATCTACTGTGGATATTATATCCACCGGTGTGCCCATGCTCTAAGGGTGGATAAAACTAAGCGAGGGGATAAACATTTTCTCCTTTCCCCGGGGATAAAATTGTCTCCTGCTCATGCTAGCTCTGCAGATGCTATAAGGAAGACGCCTTCTAGTGTGTTTCCCTTTGGAATAATGGATGTTTCTTTCACAACATCAATGGGACGATATGGGGTAGTTGATATTCTTACACCGTTACTAAAGAGCAAAATTGCTACAATATATAAAAAAGTATATATCTACTGAGGATATCCGCAATAGAACTAGACTAAGCGACATAGCCCAACAGATCTACCAAGGCTGAAATAGGAATGGACCGGCCGGCCATATACCTCGAATAACCGACCAGAAAGGTTTTTGAATGACAGCCTATGTAGCCTATAAAGCGAGGTGTAAGGCTGCCACTCACTAGACTAAATGATGATCAGAGTAGTTATGTGATATGAGTACTGTTCTCCTAATTTTAAGAAAAATATGTTAATACTAGCTCGCCAGGCAGACGTTGTTCTGCCCTTTCCGTTAACCCTTCCTATAAAAATCCTTAAATACGCATTAAAAAAATTTGAGGGTCATTTATCGGGATAAAAACTATCCTATCTCTCAAGTTGGACCAAAATGCACACAGTGTGCAAAATTTTATTGAAATCAGTTCAGTAGTTTAGGAGTCCATCGCGGACAAACAACGTGACACGTAATTTTTAATTACACTTTTTAACACTTAATAACACTTTTCATTTGTATTAATAATTAATACAAATGAACAATGCAGTTGTTCGTTCACAATTATCGTGAACGAACAGCTTGCACTAGTCACTAGTTTCTTTTGTTTATTAATGTTCATTTCATTCACTTATATCATCACTTGGCTATATCAAAAGTGAAAACATTGCGTAAGTAATGTTAAAGTTGAACACATATTCATTTATGAAAATATGTGTTGGTATACATTTTTTTTAATTAATACACTACTAACACGTGGCCCTGCTAGCTAGAGCATAGGACTCCTCCAACGAATGACAAAACACGATCCAATTAAACCAGGTTGTCACTCCATCTCTATCCAAACAAAATTAAATGTGTTATTATATTATTACAGCACTTCACAAGTCCACTGCTGAACATGGTTTTCCTCCCAGGAATGCCACCTGTATCCATCGACTTCCTACACGTCTTTTCACGTTGTCACTACATCTAGTGGGTGACCGCTATACACTTCGTCATGTCATGTCACATACACCTTCGTCTTCCTGGCATGCAAATAACCCTCTCATCTCTATAAAAGATATTACGATATTACAGTCAGATACATCAATTTTATTCATATGTAAGATGTCATTAACCCGTGTTTAAATGTAAACAATCTTGTCATACCTAACGAGTTGAATGTAAATTCAAGAAAAACAACTTCCTTCTGCGTGAATCCCATATCTCTGGTGCCCTTTGACCTACAGGACCAAAATTCAAACTCGACCGAGCTACTACCTCAAGGTATCCACATACCAAATTTAAAGTCAATCGGTCCAGTGGAACGGAAGTTATCGTGTCGGCATATAGACTAACAGACTGCCAGCTAAAACCATTAACTTCCTTTCAATGCTACGCAGAAGGAAGTTAATAATGAGCTAACAAGGTGCTACACGGGTGTGCATTTCCAACCTGATTGGTGCGACACGGTGACCGACGTCGATAGCGAATGAATTGATTATGTATGTTATTCAACTGACTTCAAACAAGTGGTAAAATAAAACAAAATGTACAACCGACTTCAATATAAATTATAGATACTAGATCAAATTTATATGGGACCACATGAGAAGAACCACCGGCTTTCAAATAAAAAAAAGAATCATCAAAATAAAAAATAAAAACCAAATAATTAAAACCTCCTTTTAAAGAGGAGGTTCTCAATTCGACTTTTTTATGTGTGTTACCTCAGAACTTTTATCTAGGAGAATCAAAATTCTTCAAATAACGAATTTGAAGAATTTTGATTCCTCGAGTGTATTATCTCTAGTGTCTATTAATTATCTATTTAAATTATTACACTATTAGAATGAAATAACGAAAAAACTAAAAAAAGAAAGTCAAAATTTTCAAAGACTGTTATAAATAAAATTATTTAAGCGTATAAAAATTATGTATGTAGTTGTGTGTGTACATGCAGCTCAATGCTGCTGTGTTTCGTATGGAAAGACGAAGACCCTTTTTACTGGAAACGAGGCATTTTTTTTATAGGATAAGGGTGACAAACGAGCACACAGTCCACCTCATGGTAAGTGGTTGCTGTGGCCCATAGACATCTACATTTATCCCCGATTACGAATCAAAATACAGATGCGTTATCACCCGTGAGGACTAAGATGGAATGCCTCGTTTCCAGTAAAAAGGGTCTCCGGTTCTCTACACTCACCATACGAAACACAGCAGCATTAAGCTACTATTTTACGCTGGTATTCTGTGAGAGCGTGGTCCTTCCCCGGTCGAGCCGACCCATTCGTGTTACAACTATACCAGAAATATAGCTGCAGCACGGCTCTACCACGTATAAAATTTCATCTTAGTCCTCACGGCTGACAACGTATCTGCATTTTGATTCTTAATCGAGGGTAGATGTAGATGTTTATGGGCCACAGCATCCAGGTGGACGGTGTGCCTAGACGAAGTGAAAATTTCTGATTTTCTAATTATTTATTTGTACTATCTGTATTTGTACTAACTTTATACACACAGTATCATACACTTGAAATTACGTTAATTATTTCCGAAACACATAATATTATAAAATTATTTTATTATTGTAATATGTCAGACAGTAATGTGGCTGATGACGACTGGAGCAGAGTATTGATTCAGTGCGTCACAGAGACGAGCGCGCTTGATATCGAGTGGAGCCGAGTAAACCCAATTCAGTGTCACCGACCCGAGCGTGACGGTTCACTCATGAGTTTGAGGTCCTCGTGACAGTATTGAGTTTGAAGAATTTCAACATTTAACCACCTCACTTAAATTAATCTCGACTAAATATAATTCAAGCAGCTATCGTGACGTATTTTGTAGCAATATCTAAATGGGTGAGGTGTCTACATTGAGAAAAAAAAAAGGTTAATACACGACAAAATCAATTTTGGACATTGGAATATTAAACAATCAAATCACATAATTGCGTGTGAAAATAAAATCATACGCACTTTTTCTACCGACTTCAAAAAAGAGACGGTACTCAATTCGACTGTATGTTTTTTTTTATGTGTGTTACCTCATAACTTTTTTCTGGGTGGACCGATATCGATGATTCTTTTTCTGCCGACTTCCAAAAAGGAGACGGTACTCAATTCGACTCTATGATTTTTAATTGTGTGTTATCTCATAACTTCTTACTGGGTGAACCGATTTCGATGATTCCTTTTTTATTTGAAAGCTGGTACTTCTCGTGTTCCATATGAATTTGATCAAGGTCATACCAATAGTTTTTGAGTTATTCTTAATAACTTATATTGAAGTCGGCTGTATAAAATTTTTAATTTTAAATTATTTATTTGAAAGTTGGTGCTTCTCATGTCGTCCATATAAATTTGATCAAGGTCTGACCAATAGTTTTTGAGTTATTCTTAATAATTTATATTGAAGTCGGCTGTACAAAATTTTTAATTTTAAATTATGTAGCAATATCGAAATGGGTGAGGTGTCTGTCTACATTGAGAATAATTTAAAATTAAAAACACAGCAGCACTAAGCTTCTGGTTTTATCCTGATAATCTGTGAGGGCCTGGTCCTTCCCACCTTTTTATACGAAATAGTATCTCTGACGTATAACCCATTTAAAAATAGTCATTAAATTCGGTTCAATAGGTGAGTTAGCTATGACTAGTATAGAAATAACGCGCCTAAAGAAGTTTTCACTTAAAAAAGTTTGGGGTTCCCTTACCTTTGTATAAAGAAGGTGGTGGGTACGCAGTATCCGGCTGCAGCTTAACGTGTCGCGTCGCCAGGATGAACGCGAGAACGGCCAGCACGATGCCGTCCAGGCACCCGATCACCGCCAGCAGATATGCCCACCGAACGTGACACCGCCCTGTAATCACAACTTGCTTTTATGTATTTTTTTTTCTTTATTTTAATTTAATAGGAGTTCTATGTATTCATCGGTGTAAACGGTGTGAATCAAGGTTCTTGGTTCCTGCGATACAAGCCTAGAGCTTAGTGCAGAAACCAGTGTATTGCTTAATTATGTAATGTTTTTTGGTTAAATAAATACATTTTCTATTTCTATTCATTTCTATGTTCACCAGTCCATCCATCCATTACAGCCTATAAAAGTCCACTGCTGAACATAGGCCGCCCCATATATTGCCTCACAGGGACTAGGGAGGATATTTGCCATAGTTGTTGGTTGTAACGTTACTGTTGATTTAATAATTTCACCTCTCAGTGTGTCATGTGCTCCTGGTAGATTATTTTCTATACATACATCCATTACAGCCTATAAAAGTCCACTGCTGAACATAGGCCTCCCCATATTGCCTCATAGGGGGAATATTTGACATAGATGTTACTGTTGATTAAATAATTTCACCTCTCAGAATGTCATGTGCTCCTGGTAGATTATCTTCTGTACATTCATCCATTACAGCCTATAAAAGTCTACTTACTGTTGAACATAGGTCAATCCTATAGATTGCCGTATAGGGAGGGATTTATCATAGGTGCAACCCCATTTTTTTATTATTTTGAGTTGAGTAGTAACCAGTAAGATGCTGCTGCCCATCTTCTGTTTTAGTTTCCCTCTGTCGCCTCTTACGACACCCACCGGACAATATGGGGTAGTGGATATTCTTACAAGGTTTATCTTCACCGATCAGGTGAAATTAGGTGGCTTCTACTAACACGAATGTAGGGTGTTTCTTTTAAATTATAGGATGGGGGTGACAAACGAGTACACAGTCCACCTGATGGCTTTGTGGCCTATAGAAATGCACATCGATTAAGGATCAAAATGCAAATTCGTTGTCACCCGTGAGGACTAATATGGAATGCCACGTTTCGAGTAAAAAGGTTCTTCGGTTCTCTACACTTACCTACCATACGCAACACAGCAGCATTAAGCTATTTCACGCTGGTATTCTGAGAGCGTGATCCTACCTCTTTTTTTATAGGATAGGGTGTCAAACGAGCACACAGTCCACCTGACGGTAAGTGGCTGCTGTAACCTTAGACATCCACATCTATCCTCAATAAATAATCAAAATGCAGATGCGTCGTCACCTGTGAGGACACTGATGGAATTCCTCGTTTCCAGTAAAAAGGGTCTCCGGTTCTCTACACTCACCATACGAAACACAGCAGTGTTAAGCTGCATTTTACACTGGTATTCTGTGATAGCGTGGTCCTTCCCCGGTCGAGCCGACCCATTCGTGCTACAACTATACTATTAATAGAGCTGCAGCATGGCTCTCCCAAGCTCCGCTACACTAGCTACATTTGTAGTAGAGCCTCCTCAAATGTTTTCCAAAATAATAACTTAAATTAATCACTTGTCAAAATTTTTCTCCTCTGTCATCAGCCCGTAAAAAATAATTGAATTATTTAGAAACTTTTTGTGCGATACGAGATACCGATAGGTGGCGCTATTGTCGAGGTCCAGAAATCACCTGTGCGAAGTCGGAGCGGATCGCTAGTTCAGTAATAAAAATATAGAGACGTTACCTATGTTGTACTGGTCAGCAGTGGGGCCGCAGGTCTCCTGCACCGCGAGCTCGTTCCATCCGGCGGGGTACACCGCCGCGCCCGCCACCATGCACAAAGCTAGGACAAAAAGACAGGATTTTATTATTAATGTTGCTAGAATAAAAATATTTAAAAAGCATATATTTTTTTTTAATATCTTCAAATAGTTAGTAGTAGTTAAAAGTTTATAGTTTAACTTATTGAATTTATATAATAATAATATCACCCTGATTTTTATCCACAATTGGATATAGAAATTCAAATAATTAAAACAAAAACAATCGAATCGTGGTTTGAGTACAAAATAATCATAAAACCAAATAATAATAAAAATAATGATTTCTTATATTTACGCGAACAATACACATTGAATAAAACTACTTTTACGGATTCTATCGCGTTTAATTAATATATTTTTTTATTAATTCCTGACGTTTCTTAAAAAAATAAGTTAATTAAACGCGATAGAATCCGTAAAAGTGGTTTTATTCGAAACTAATCATCATCAAAAACACCAAATCATTTCGAAGAACGTGCCAAGCATTTCGAAGTCTTTTATGAAGAATAATGTGCAAAGCCACCACTACCACGAGGTCCCTAGCGTGGAGACCTTGTAGTGGTGGCCGCTGACCCAAACTTTAAATCAGGGCAACGCGGTGGACTCTTTCTGTCCTAATAGTTCGTTGCTGGAATGCATTTTCGCGGACCTCACGTTCTCAAAATTCATATTTTTAACCTTTCTAATTTAAACAAGATAGCAGCAACAATATATAATTTATTGTATTAATTATATAATTTCAGTTCAATTTAAACTGATTTATAAGTTTTATTGACTGTTGCGAAAAATTACTAAGCCACATTACAAGTTACAACGTCCCATGTACGTACACCCATAACGCATCTGCATTTTATTTCTTAATCGACGATAGATGTGGGTGGCTATGGACCAAAGCATTAGCTTACCATCAGAAACAGAAACTTTTTTATTCAATATAGATTATAAATAATACTTATTGAAAGTCACTAATTTGTTTAATTACCACTGGTTTGGAAACAAACCTCTGTCCTGGGAAGAACCTACAAGAAACGCAGCGGAACTTAAAAAAAAAACAGCTAATAATCATGTATGTTACATAATGAACAACACAAAACAAATTAGAAATAGCTTGGTAGCGATAAGCTCATTCCCAGGGGTTATAATCATCCATAAGTTCCATAATATTATAATAACCCTTTTTATACAAATTTAGTTTAATAATTTATTTTTAAATATGAGCATGTCAAATTTAGTATATATTTTCTGGTATTTTGTTGTAAAAGCGTATACATCGCCCCAATAATGAATTACTGACTCGGTGGAGTCGAGTAACTGGTATACAGGTGGAGTGTATACTCGTTTGTAACTCTTATTCCATTAAATTAAATTAAATTAAAAATTAAATGAAATCAAAATTCACAGAATGTTACTATGCACTGTCAGTCTATATCATTTAAAACAACTATAGTTGAATAAACGAATGAAAGTTGAACGTAAGTAATTATCGTTCGTTCACGCTAGAATTGTTAACGAAAGCCTATATAATTTCAATTTCACTTATCCACTACTCAAAGGGAAAACTGGACGGAGGCGTTTTCAATTTGTACTTGGTAGGGTGACCATCACTTAGTATATTCGAGAATTGATATGCTTGAGTTTTGCTTTGTAGAATATGTAACAAATATTAGCAAAATATATGTATATTTTATGACGTTCTGAATATTATTATAGTACTCTCGTTGTCGAGGTAAAATAAAAAACATCTAGGTAACATCTACCCGACTACGGTGGAGAATAAAAGATTTTACGTTGTTGACTGACGTGTGTGTCATACATACATGTCCTTTTTATGTTATTTTGTAACTCCAAAACTTTATTAAATCATAAAATGGGTTCTGTATTAGGTGCACTAAGTGGAATTAGAATAAATTACACTTTACACCATATATGCTAAGAAATCATTAGGTATAAGAATTCATCAGGTTAAAATTTTTAGTCCATAAAATTCGTTAGCTACCAAAAAGTAAAAATAAGGTGCCTGACAAATTATTATGATCTAAATCTAACTTAAACCGCATTCTGGAGAAAATTGAGAAAATCCATGATTTTCGCGGACAAATATGGTCGCATTAGCAGCAACAGGCAATTTCTTTAGTCATAGAGATTAATTATAGAGAAACTGTACCTATACAACGATTTCTACTTTATGAAAATGCAAAATCATGGCTGTGTTGGAGAGAATTATCTGTTTTCTTGTAATAAAGTCTTAATCCTTTATATATGATATTTGTGAAATTCAAAGATGATGTGCTTCTTTCGAGATCTTAAAAAATGTAATACTAATTAATAATTAAGTAATTAGCTAACTTTGTAAGTGATAACGTTCATGCATTTTTTACGCGGTAGAGCCATGCTGCAGCTATATTAGTAGTATAGTTGTAGTACGAATGGGTCGGCTCGACCGGGGTAGGACCACGCTCTCACAGATTACCAGCGTAAAATAGCAGCTTAACACTGCTGTGTTTCGTATGGTGAGTGTAGAGAACCGGAAACCCTTCTGCATCTGCATTTTAATTCGCAAACGAAGATAGATGTAGATGTCTATGGGCCACAGCAATCACTTACCATCAGGTGGACTGTGTGCCCGTTTGTCATCCTTATTCTATAAAAAAAATGCAATTCTCGTACGGGGTGCTGGTGGTGTTGCCATTTACCTTCGTGAGCATATTACCTTCTTTCTATTGTTCTTTTATCATCTCAATTTCTAGAGAGAACGAAGCGGAATACTCCTTTATTGAAGTACTTCTTTCGCACAACAAATTACTTCTCGGAGTTTTTTTTTATAGTCGTTCTTCCACAGTTGACTATTTTATTACATTAGCCTACCCACCCTAACCACCTTCTTGAAGAGCTAACTCCATTATTTCTTCATTATTATTGTATACACATACAGTGCTAATGGACGATTTTAATTCTTGACTTCTTAAGAATGTTGCCCGATCTCTTTTTTTATATAGGATAGGGTGACAAACGAGCACACAGTCCACCTGATGGTAAGTGGTTGCTGTGGCCCATAGACATCTACATCTATCCTCAAATCGAAATGCAGATGCATTGTCACCCGTGAGGACTAAGATGGAATGCCTCTTTTCCAGTAAAAAGGGTCTCCGGTTCTCTACACTCACCATACGAAACACAGTAGTGTTAAGCTGCTATTTTACGCTGGTATTCTGTGAGAGCGTGGTCGTTCCCCGGTCGAGCCGACCCATTTGTGCTACAACTATACTACTAATATAGCTACAGCATGGCTCTACCACGGAAATAATATATCTTCAGCCTTAAAGCCTACTGGACCTGGGCCTCTGACTTACCCACCGTGTACTGGCGGTGTAAGAATATCCACTACTTCATATTGTCCCGGGGGTGTCGTAAGAGGCCACAGAACGAAACTGAAACAAGAGATGGGCAGCAGCATCTTCCCGATAACAATTCAATTTTAATAAAAAAGACTGCGGTTGCCGTCTATGAAGCGTGACAACTGTAGCAAAATCCCCCTAATAGGCACAATCTATAGGCTGTAATGGATGGATGGAAATCCCCAAACCCAAGTAATAATTTCCAGGCCATGTGGAATCAAACCCGCGACCTGCAGTTTAATGCTTTACAACTGCATAGCCGAGCCGCCATTGTTGTTTAACTTCCGAGTTATTTGTTGCTGTAGTTGAAAGAGGCCTAGAAGTAACAAATACCTTGAAACGTGATCCGTTAGATAAGAATACGTCTATTTCCCCTGACGAGAACAATGGTTATTAAACACCGGTACAAAAACAATACACGGGGATTCCCACGCGTGGGATTTTAGTTAGAGGTTATAATACTGTAGTGTAACTGTACGTCAAATAACTGTATTCATATGTAAGAAGTGAATTAGTGAGTTAAAAATGCGACAGTTGACACGGATGCAGGAGGGTGTAATTAAATTACATTAAATTTCAGAGTCTGCCATAGGCTTAATTTACGTTGCCCTGGAACGGAATGCTAGCGAATTTTTGTAACGATATTGTACATAGTAAAATGAATTTTATGTTAATTAAAATTATTTTTTTTAAATAAATTTTATGTTAATTAGGCGTCAGTAGCCTAATGGCAGGGCGCGGACTGCGAACTCGAAAGGCCGTGAGTTCGAATCCGCCATTCGACTACTGTCGTGAACCACTTCTAACACAAGCATTTTAAGCTTACCAGAAGTGGTTAAAGGGAATATTAGGAATGTTTAATGGCATTACAAGTATTTAAAAAAAAATTATGTAACGTTCAAACTAGATATGAGCCAAAAAAAAGGTCGCGCGTCTTCCGTGGAATTCTTGCGCATTCTCGAGAATTCCCGTAGTTACTGTTGGCGCAGTCTGTGGCGCGAAGGGTGACGTTTTCATTTCTTATTTATCTTCTTATAAATCATGAACCAAAATATTTCTTTTCTTTTTTCTGATATTCTTCCTTTTCCCATCATTTTCTTCTTCAGCCTCACAAATAAGCAACATGAAAATAATATCCAATCAACCATTCTTGTCAAATAAAGATCTAGACAAAATAACTAAATGGTGGTTATAGCGTCAAGGCGCAGTCGCGCGCCTTCCCGCACGACGAGGTGGAATTGACGCTTCCGTTCCATTCCATTCAGCCGCAATGTAAATTGAACCTTATGGACCCTTTTTATCCAACTGCCCCAGAAAGGGGGTAATGTTTTTCGAGTACATGTATGTATGTCTATTTCTTTGGCATGCTCTATAGCCTAAATTGGATTGTTAGATCTTAACATATGGGTTTTTTTTATAGGATCGGGTGACAAACGAGCACACAGTCCACCTGATGGTAAGTGGTTGCTGTGGCCCATAGACATCTACATTTATACTCGTTGTCATGGTAAAGCCTTGCTGCAGCTATATTAGTGGTATAGTTGTAGCACGAATGGGTAGGCTCGACCGGGGAAGGACCACGCTCTCACAGAATACCAGCGTAAAATAGCAGCATAACAACGCTG